GCTGCACTAACTCTGCATCGTCCTCTAACCCGACCCTCTCTGATTCTCACTCAAGTACAGTTCACTGTCTGTGCAAAGGCCCGGGAGCCTTCCTCCCCCCACCTCCCTACCCCACTGTGCATCTCTGCCCCCTGCATCTCTCTAACCCATTTCTTCCTTTCTGTTCCCATGGGCCGGGTCCCAGCAGAAGCCTTGTCCCCCATCCCCTCGCCTAGCCTTCTACTTCAGCCTCATCTCCTATAGCCCATGGGTCCTCCCAGGCCCCTGAGTCCCTCTACACCCAGAGCTGCCCCTGCCACTGCCCCTCCCCTGCTCACAGCCCTCCCATGGCTCCCTAAGGCTCTCAGGAGGCATAGACCCTGCCTGGCCCAGTCCCAAGCACTCCACCCACTCCCTCCCGCCTCCAGCGCTGACTCTTTGAACACCCTGCCATTCTTTGGCCCATCTCTCCCCTCCCAAATCTGCAGACAAAGTTTCCTCTGCCTGGAATGCTCTCCCTCGCTCTCCGCCCCCCTCCAACCTGGCTAATCCACAACTTGTCCTTCAGGTCTCCTCTTAAGAACCAAAATAATAATTGCCACTTATCCGGTGCCAGGAACCGTGCAAAAATGTTTGCCAGACGTTATGGGCTGAACCCTTCCAAACGCCCTGTGAGCTAGGCTGCTGGAGGTTGCACGGTCAGAGGGAGAAGCTGGCGGCCTCCGCCCAGGATGGCCAGGCTGCGCACTCCTTCTGAAAGCTGTCCTACCGCCCCCTGCTGGCCTCACCAGTCCTCTGAGCTTGCCCAGGTAGAGTTCTCGCCATGCGGATAATAATAATGATAATACTATATAGTGAGCATTTTCTGCATGTCCAGTGTGGCTCTTTTTTTTTTTTTTTAAGCCTACAGCACCCGGTATTCCCAGGCGGTCTCCCATCCAAGTATTAACCAGGCCCGACTCTGCTTAGCTTCCGAGATCAGGCGAGATCGGGCGCATTCAGGGTGGTATGGCCATAGATTCCAGTGTGGCTCTTGAGGTGCTACATTAACCCTTCAAAACCCCATGGGATGGGCTTTATAGTGTAAAGACAGTTGCAAATTCAACCCTCCTCCCATTAAGGAGTAGGGTCTCTGGCCCCTCCCCTTGCCTCTGGGTAGGCTCTGTGACCTCTAGACCAGTGGTTCTCAACCTTCCTAATGCCGCAACCCTTTAATACAGTTCCTCATGTTGTGGTGACCCCCAATTTCATTGTTACAAATTGAACATAATGAAAGCATAGTGATTCATCACAAAAACAATATGTAATTATATGTGTGTTTTCCGATGGTCTTAGGCGACCCCTGTGAAAGGGTCGTTTGACCCCCAAAGGGGTCGCGACCCACAGGTTGAGAACCGCTGCTCTAGACCAAGAGAGTACAGTGGGAGTGGCCCCGTGTTTCTGCACTGAGGCCTCAAGAGACTGGCGTATTCCACTTCCTGCATCGTGAAACACTCCTGCTGGGAGCCCAGCCGCCATGCTGAGAGGAAGCTCAAGCAGCCGCATGGAGAGGAGTAATGGCCCCTAGTGAACCGGCTGGCAAGCCTGTGATGGATCCATCTTGGATGTCGTTCCTCTGGCCCTATCTGAGCCATGGAAGAGAAGCCAGCTGTCCCTGCCACGCTCAAATCTCAGGTTTATGAACAAACGAAAGGATCGTTGGGTTACGCCACCAAGCAACAGAAAGCCCGGCTGTCACTAACTGCACCTGATGGAGGAGGAAACTCAGGCTTAGAGAGTAGGAAGTTGTCCAAGGTTCTCCCGGAGACGGGGATTGGGCAGGATCTGAACCCAGGGCCTCGGGATCCAGGCCCAGGCCTGTAACCCCTGCATGAAGCTCTTACTGTCTCAGTAGGCCAAATGAATAGACTGAGGCTCAGAGACGGGAAGTAACTCACTCACGATCTCACAGCAGGTAAGTGTGAAAGAGAGGGTCACTAAGGCTGACTCCAGGTCCCAGCTCTTCCCCGCACCAGGTTTTGATGATCTCTTGCTTGTCTGTCTCTCCAACCAGAATCAGAGCTTCTGGCCTACTCCCCTCTTGGGTCCCAAGTCTCGGGCAGGGGCCTGGCACCCAGGAGCCCACAGCAAACACCTTGCGGATGAAAGCCCTTCTTACCCCCCACCCCACCTCACTGGTATTTGTCTTTCAAGACTCAACTTAGATGCCACCACACTGGGAGTCTCTTTGACCCCACAGGCCTGCTCGGATGCCCCAGGTGGGCCCCCAGTGCCTCCATGTACAGCACCCAGCACCCACCTCACGGTTGCCTGTGCCCACGTCCATCCCCCTTCAACGTGGAAGCTTCTCAGGGGCAGGGACTGGACGTGACTCACCTGGGTCTCCTGCATTGCCCAGCACAGGGCCTGGCACACAGGAAAACTAAGTAAATGTTTGTTGAATGAATCAAGGAATGGGTGTCCATGGAATGAGGTAACAGAGACAGACGGCGAGAGTCATAGTTTTATTGCCAAGTTTCACGGACGGGGCTCAAATCCGCCCGATCTCTTTCAGCTTGGCCACCAGGTCCTCCGTGGTCTCCACCTTGACGCCAGCCGTGCGCTGGGGCGGGTCCTCCACGCTCACCACAGTGAGCTTGGAGGTCAGGTCCACGCCCAGGTCCCCGGCCTTGAGCACCTCGATCTTCTTCTTCTTGGCTTTCTACGTGCAGGAAGCCACAGATCACAAAGCTGCCGAGCCCTCTGCCCACCCTCCTGCAGCCCCCATGGGTGCCACATCCGCTGAACGACTCCCATTGGCTGAACCCTTCGGGACCTGCCCCTGGCCAGGACACATGCGACCTCTTACAGGGCCACACCTGGTGCAGACAACTCCTGTTGGCTGGGATGACCTGGGAAGCCCTCCTACTGCGGGAGTCCTCCTTCGGTCAACAGCCTCCACTGGCTCAAATGGACTGGCAAACTCACCCTCTGGCAGTAATAACTCATTGGACTTTTGGCCAAACTGATCCATTAAACTCACCCTATTGGCTGACGTGACTCAATGAACCCATCTTATTGGATGAGATGACCCACTGAAATCTCCCTATTGGCTGAAATGACTCATTGAGCCCATCCTACCGGCCAAGATGACCCACTGAACTCTCCCCGCTAGCTGAGATGACCCAATAAAGCCTCCTCATTTGGCTAGGATTCCAGAATGAACTGTTCCTATTGGTTGTAATGACAAGGGGAACCCTCTTGATTGTCTGATCAAGCCTTTTATTGGCTGAGATAAACAGCAAGCCCTTCCTGTTAGCCAACAGCCCCATGAGCGCTCTCATTATCGGCACAGAGGACCCAGTGGACCCTCTCTGTTAGCCAAATGGCCAGTGATCCCTTCCTTTGGATGAGATGTCCCTTGGATCCTGTCTCCTCCCATCTGAACACCAGGGAGGCACAGGGCCTATAGGACTCACACACCCCAGGCCCCCGTGACCCCTCTGCCAGGTGCTCACCATGATGTTTGGCAACGTGGCATATCGGGGCTCATTGAGCCGCAGGTCAGCGGTCACCACCGCAGGCATCTTCAGGCGCACGGTCTCCAGGCCCCCATCAACCTCCCGCTCTACTTTCAACTTGTCCCCTTCCAGTGTCAACTGGGAGGCAAAGGTGCCCTGGGGAGAGAGCATAGGGGGAGTGGGCAGATTAGTTCAGGGCAGGCCCCGAGCAGTCCTCCATTGGCCACTCCGCAGAGTGCAACAGAGGCACGAATGAATGACAACAGAAGAGGAAGCATCCTGCAAGGTGATCTATAGACATTAAGTTCAAATACAGGGGGGTGGATGGGGGGAGCAGGCATGGCTCAGTGGTTGAGCGTCGACCCATGAACCGGAAGTCACCTGTTCGATTCCGGTCAGGGCACATGCCTGGGTTGCAGGCTCAATCCTCAATAGGGGGTGTGCAGGAGACAGCCAATCACTGATTCTCTCTCACCATTAATGTTTCTAACTCTCCCTCTCGCTTCCTCTCTGAAATCAATCCTATATAATAAAACCCTAATATGCAAATCGACTGAACTGCAGAACAACCGGTTGCTATGATGTGCACTGACCCACTGGGGGCAGACGGCTCAACGCAGGGGGAGCGCCGTTCAGCCAGAAGCTGGGGTCATGGCTGGTGAGTGCAGCTGTGGTGGTAGGAGCCTCTCCGCTTCCACTGCAGGCAGGCGGTAAGGAGGGGTCCCAAACTGCGACAGCCCCGGACTGTGAGAGGGATGTCTTACTGCCAGCTTAGGCCTGACCCCCTGAGGGGTCCCGGACTGCAAGCAGGTGCAGGCTGGGCTGAGGGAACCCCCCTCCAGTGCATGAATTTGTGCACCGGGCCTCTAGTATTGTAATAACTATGTATGGTGTCAGGTGGGTACTTGAAATATCAGGGGGATCACTTTGTAAAGTATATGATTATCTAACCACTATGCTGTACACTTGAAACTAATACAAAATAATACCGAATATAAACTGTAATTGAAAAGTAAAATAAAAATGTAGAAATGGAAACGTTTTTTAAAAGAATCCAAAATATTTCAATATTTTTTATATTGATTATGTGTTGAAATGACATTTAAGATATATTGGGTTAAATGCAATATCATTAAAATTAATTTTGCCAGCTTCTTTGAATTTTTTTTTTAAGGTATCTTTATTTTTTTTTTATTTTTTTTTTTTTAAAATATATTTTATTGATTTTTCACAGAGAGGAAGGGAGAGAGATAGAGAGTTAGAAACATCGATGAGAGAGAAACATCGATCAGCTGCCTCTTGCACACCCCCTACTGGGGATGTGCCCGCAACCCAGGTACATGCCCTTGACCGGAATCGAACCCGGGACCTTTCAGTCCGCAGGCCGACGCTCTATCCACTGAGCCAAACCGGCTTCGGCAAAGGTATCTTTATTGACTTCAGAGAGGAAGGGAGAGGGAGAGATAGAAACATCAATGATGAGAGAGAATCATTGACTGGCTGTCTCCTGCACGCCCCACACTGGGGATCGAGCCCACAACCTAGGTATGTGCCCTTGACCGGAATCGAACCCAGGACCCTTCAGTCCACAGGCCCACGCTCTATCCACTGAGCTACACCTGCCAGGGATCTTTGCACTTTTTTAATGTGGCTATGAAAAATTTTAAATTGCGTCTGTGGCTTGCATTTCTGTTGGACTGGCAGAGGCGGAGACTGGGGAATCTGGAGTTTGGAGGGGGCATGAGTATCTCCTAGAGAGTGGGCAAGGAAGGCCTCTTGGAAGAGGTGATATCTGAGAGCTCTCGACTGAAGGGGGGAGTGAAAAACACAGATAATCTCAGAGGGCCATGTTCCAGGCGGAGGGAACAGCAAGTGCGAAGGCCCTGAGCAGGGACGAGCTGGTGTGGTTGAGGAGCAGACGAGGCCAGGTGTCCTGTCTGAGCACTCCCCCTGCCTGCCCACGGGAGCTGCTGTCCTGCTTTACCTCTGCCTCCCCCTGGAAGGGCAGGGACAAGGGTGGCCGTGTTCTGAGCCCCCAGGCCTGGCCCACAGCAGGCGCTCCCCACCCCGGCCTCACCCACCTGTGGCCAGTCCAGAAATCCAGCAGTCATCTGCCCGGTCTGGTTACAGTCGTCATCAATGGCCTGAGTGGGGAAAGAGAAGACCGTATGACAAGGGGGCTTCTCACGCACTATCGGGGCCTTTGTCTGCAACAGGGGTCGGCAATATCCCGTGTTCTCTGTCGCAGCGCCTCAGCTCCGCGCTGTAGTGCCTGAGCAGCCATAGACATCGCGTGTCTGTATAAACAAATGGATGTGTGGGTGTTCCAATAAAACTTTATTTACCAAATTGTCGTCTCCATGGGCCACAGTTTGCTGAGTCCAGGTCTAGAGTGATCCCATCCCCTCAACTGGGCCCAGAGACAGGGGCGCCTGGTATCCCCAAGGCCCCGCTTAAACATTCACAGAACCCTCCTGTGCACCAGGCCCTGGGCAGGCCACCCTGGGGAACTGAGTGAATGGGATCTGGGCCAATGAGAACATTCTGTCCCTGACTCCAGTGATTGGCTCCGGGATGAACGCATGACTCCAGCTGGACCAGTGGAGCGTCAGCCCTGAGAGTTTTGCTGGAGCCCTTGGGAAAGAGGCTCTTGTTTCTGCCGGGGTCACTGGGTTGGCGGGAGGTAAGCCTGGAGGTGCAGAGAGTGAAGCCAACACAGAGTGCAGCCAAGACAGAGGAGCGGAGTCTAGAGCACAGGTTGACCTGGATCACGCTGTGCCTGAAGCTCTCCTCACATTAGCTAATAAGGTCACTTTTTGGCTTAAGCAGGTCTGAGCTGTGATTCTGCCACCCACAGCAAAGAGTATCCCGGCCAGTTCATCCAGCAGGTCCCCAGCAGGAGTCCCAGGCCCTAGGAGCTGTCCCTGACACGCAGGACAAGCAGGGCATCGAGTCTGAGCCCCACCAGCGGATGCAGGAAGCTTCAATAGGCCATGCCGCCAGCACCTGTTACTGGGGGAGCTGGTGTGACACCTGAGCCCCACCCAGCCCCACCCAGCCCCACCCAGACCGTGCCTTTTTGGCCTCTTCTCTGGTGAGACCTCCTGCCTCAGTTTCCTGATTTGTACTCTGACTCCCCTGCTGTCATCTCTCTCTGCTCGACTGCCTGGCTTGGGCAGGACACCCAGTAACCTAACTGGACCCATCAGTCTCCCATCACTCTGGAATGCTGGTCTCCCCCCTCGGGGACTCCAGCTCTACCTCTGAGCCTCCCGTGGGTCTCTGTGACCGCCTCACCTCGCTGCCTCTGACCTTCTTTCTCAGCCTCATGCTCTCCCCGTCTCGCTCCTGTCTGTCTGAGGCTCTTCCGAAGGCCCCCCTCGGCCCTTCCCCTGGGTGAGTACCAGGTCTGTCCTGATGGGATGGGGTGGGGAGGCCGACCCCGAGGAAGGGTCTCCTGGGATGTCGTGTGCTGGGGAAGGTTCTAGTTGAGTTCTCACCCCAGAGCCCCCCTATCCCCAAACCCCTGGCCTCCAGTCTCTCCCCTTCCAGGCCATTCCTAATGGGGTCTCTCTGCACCACAGCTGGCCGGGCCCACCCCCACCCCCACCCCCCACCCCCCATGCTCATTAGAGCCCCCCAAGGCTCCCCGGGTGCCCTTCCGAAGGCCTCAGGTCTCTGTTCAAAGCCCAGGCCTTCAGTCAGAACCCATGTGGATGCCCCCACCCTCCAAGCCAACCCATGCACAGTCCCTCCCTCCTCCCTTCTCCCTACGGGCCCTGTCCCTCCAGCACATCTGTCTCTGCTCTGTCCCATGGGCCGTGGCCCAGGCCTCCAGCGTTCCAATCCCACCTCATAGGACCCTACGGGGACCTTCTGAGGCCCACAGTGACCCTGCCCTTCCTGCTCAAACTCTGGAGCAGGGAGAGCCAAGTCGCAGGGCTGCTGGGCCTGGGACCCATGAACCCGGGCCTGAGTCACCTGCCTCCCACCTCAGGCCTCCCCACTCCCAGTCAGGTACACGGGGACGGGGGAGGGGCTGGCACACCCACCTGCTTGCCCAGCAGCACCAGGCCCACCTTCTCCTTCTCTGCCAGCTTGGCCAGAACCCGGGCCACCTGCAGGGGACCCAGGCGCTCGGCCTCTGCAGCCGGCACCTCCACATGGATGCCTCGGTCTGCGCCCATGGCCAGGGCAGTGCGGAGGGTCTCCTGGGGGGAGAGGAGGGGCTTGACTTGGCTTCTTGCACCAGGGGGACCCAGGAGCCTGATCCCCCAGCCCCTCCCTCCCTCAGACCCAGGAGTCCAGGCCCCCAGCCCCTCCTCCCTCAGACCCAGGAGTCCAGGCCCCCAGCCCCTCCTCCCTCAGACCCAGGAGTCCAGGCCCCCAGCCCCTCCTCCCTCAGACCCAGGAGTCCAGGCCCCAGCCCCTCCTTCCTCAGACCCAGGAGTCCGGGCCGAGCACCCCTCCCTCAGACCCAGGAGTCCAGGCCCCCAGCCCCTCCTCCCTCAGACCCAGGAGTCCAGGCTGAGCACCCCTCCCGGGCCCTGGCACCTGGCACTGGCTGGGCCCGCAGCTGACAGCAATGACCTCCTTCACCAGCTTCTTCTCCTTGAGCCGCACGGCCTCCTCCACGGCGATCTCGCAGAAGGGGTTCATGGAGTGCTTCACGCCATCGGTGACCACACCTGTCTTGTCAGGCTTCACTCGGATCTGTGCAGCCAGGAGGGGAAGGGACAGGGTCAGGGGTCGGGGCCACGGCACCAACCAGCACAGGCTGGATGGGGATCACCGGGGCCTGGAGAGGGGTGAGGCCTTGCCCGGGGTCCCAGGTCTCCAGGGACAGATGGGGTTAGAATTCGCAGGCGGGTGAAGGGCCGCCCTCTCACCCTCTCACTCAGACCCGCCGGACATCTGACTCGTCGCTGCTCCTTGGGCCTGAATGCGGGTTTCTCCGTCGTATCATCACCCACAGTGAGAAACACATTTGATGATACCCCCAAGGGTGTTGCAAGCACACACATATGTTCACATGTAAATATAAACACCACTGCAGCGTGAGGTTCGGTGGACGGTACTTACCTTCACTCTATACACTATACTGGGGCATTTTCTATTCTTTTTTTTTTTTTAATTGATTTTTAGCGAGAGAGGAAGGGAAGAGAGCGAGAGAAGCATCAACGTGAGAGTGAAACATCAATCAGGTGCCTCCTGCACACCCACTGCCAGGGATCGAGCCCAAAACCCAGGCCTATGTCCAGACCAGGAATCGAACCGGCGACCTCAAGGTACACAGGATGGCGCCCAACCAACTGACCACACTGGCCAGGGCTATTCTGTTTCTCTTAATGCCAGCCCTCGACAGGGACTTCATGATCAACGCATGGTCACAATCTGGTTTGAAAAGCACCTGCTTCAAAGGCCCCTCTGCCACACAGGCTAAGGTGGGGGCGGGGCAAACCTCTCCTCACAGGGCAGGTCCTCACTGTGTGCCTGGCCCTGGGCTGCACAGGTCATCTGGTTTCTCTCTTCTTCTTCTTTTTTTTTTGTTAATCCTCCCCAGAGGATATTTTTTCCATTAATTTTTTTAGAGAGAGTGGAAGGGAGGGAGGGGGAGAGAGAGAAACATTGATGTGAGAGAGACACATTAATTAGTTGCCTCCTGCACACGCCCTGACTGGGGTTGGGGATCAAACCTGCAACCCATGTACGTGCTCTTGACGGGGCATCAAACCCACAACCTGGGAATCGAACCCATGACCCTTCAATGCACGGGCCGGTGCTCTAACCACTGAACACACCGCCAGGGTGCCTCTGGGTTCTCGATGGAGAAAACTGGGAAAATGGCAGGAGCTGAAGTGGGGAGACCACTGGGCGGCTGTGAGCCATTGACCTAAGAGATGATGGTGGCTCTGGCGGCCTTGACAGTGGAGTGGAGAGGAGGCTGGGTGGGAGGGTCCTTGCAGGTAGGACTTGGTGGGGTGAGAAGGAGGAGTCCAACAGGACACCCTTGGGGTTCTGGGGGGACATGAGCACAGCGGGGAGCATGCTGCCTGGGCTTTAGGCTCACTGTGTTCAAGAAGCCGGTGAGATGCCCAAGGGGCCCGGCTGGGGAGCCTGCACCACGCAGCTGGGACCTGCCCCTCTCCTCCCAGGTGGCCGCCCCCAAAGGCCTGGTCCAAGCAGGTGCCCGCCCAGCGGGGGACACCGGGACTCTCACTGGTTCCCTACACCTTCCTCTCTGGGGCTGGGGGGGACGGGGGGTGGCGGTCCCTCCCGCTGGCAAGGCAGAAGCAGATGTGGGATGAGGAGGAAAAAGAGAAAATGGACAACTATCATTTTCTATCACCATCCTCTCGTTTTTAAAAAGTCATTTTAACTCAGTGGTTCTCAACCTTCTGGCCCTTTAAATACAGTTCCTCATGTTGTGACCCAACCATAAAATTATTTTCATTGCTACTTCATAACTGTAATGTTGCTACTGTTATGAATCGTAATGTAAATATCTGATATGCAGGATGGTCTTAGGCGACCCCTGTGAAAGGGTCGTTCGACCGCCAAAGGGGTCGCGACCCACAGGTTGAGAACCGCTGTTTTAACTCCAAAAGTAAGGCTCACATTTCAGAACTGGATGAATTTACTCTCAAGAAACACAACTGGAGCAAAAACCAGGTGCTGAATCCATGTGTTTTGTTTTGTTTTGTTTTTTCACAAGAACCTGTGCTAAGGACATGGCACATACTCCCCCAAGTCCCCCACACGTTCCCCTGGCTCCTCTCACCCATCCTATTCGAATGCACCTTCCCACCCTGGCCGGTGTGGCTCAGCTGGTTCAGCGCCATCCCACGCACTAAGATTCCAGGGCACATGCCCTAGCTGTGGGTTCGATCCTGGTGCAAGAGGCAGTCGGTCAATGTTTCCATCTCTGCCTCCCTCTCTGTTTCTCTCTCTCTAAAATCTATGAAAACATATTTTTTAAAGTAAAATGCACCCTCCCAACTCTCCCCACCCACCCCCTTATCTGGTTAGTTCTTTTGATTGCACTGGCCAGCCAACATATGCCATACACTGCACTTAGAATGTCTGACCTATCTTCTTCCCACCAGAATGCCAACGCCCCGAGGAAAGGGATGGGTGTCTGTTTGGTTTGGCCTAGATCAGTGATGGCGAACCTATGACACGCGTGTCAGAGGTGACACGCAAACTCATTTTTTTGGTTGATTTTTCTTTGTTAAATGGCATTTAAATATATAAAATAAATATCAAACATATAAGTCTTTGTTTTACTATGGTTGCAAATATCAAAAAATTTCTATATGTGACACGGCACCAGAGTTAAGTTAGGGTTTTTCAAAATGCTGACATGCAGAGCTCAAAAGGTTCCCCATCACTGGACTAGATGGTGTCTGGTACATGGCAGGTGCAAGGTTAACACTTGTTAGTGAATAACTGAGGACGTGCTCACGAGAGTTATGTTATGTTATGCTCCTGTCTGTTCACTATGTTTTGTTGTTTTTTTTTCAGAGAGGAGGAAGGGAGAGGGAGAGAGAGAGAGAAACATCAAAGATGAGAGAGAATCATTGGCCAGCTGCCTCCTGCACACCCCACGCTGGGGATCAAGCCCGCAACCAGGCATGGGCCCTGACCAGGACCTCTTGGTTCATAGATGGACACTCAACCATTGAGCCACACTGGCCGGGCTGTGTAAACACTTATTACAAATCCCTCTCTTTCATGAACAAAATTAAATAACAGAGAGGAGTTTCCACTCTAAACAGGAAAGCAGCACCCCCTCCACTGTGCCGGGAGCTGGGGGGCTGGTGGAGGGCCCCATGCCCACCCTTGCGGTGGCAGGACCCGCTCAGGCCCCTGACTCCGAGGAGGGAGGGACCAGCTCACCTCCTCCGGGAAGATCTTCTAAGCTTGAGTTCGTTTCCAGGTTCAAAAACACTGTTTAGCCCTGGCCGGTTTGGCTCAGTGGGTAGAGCGTCGGCCCATGGACTGAAGGGTCCCTGGTCCGATTCTGGTCAAGGGCACATGCCTCGGTTGCAGGCTTGATGCCCAGCCCTGGTTGGGGCTCGCGTAGGAGGCAACCAATCACTGTGTCTCTCCCCCATTGATGTTTCTCTCTGGGCCTCTCCCCCTCTCTTCCACTCGCTCTAAAAATCAATGGAAAAATATCCTCAGGTGAGGATTAACAAAAAATAAAATAAAATAAAACAAAAACACTGTTTATCCTCAAAAGATTAAGAAGAGAGCTACCATACGACCCAGCAATCCCTCTCCTGGGTATATACCCGAAAAACTCGAAATGTATTCGCCAAGATTCATGCACCCCTATGCTCACTGCAGCATTAGTCACGGTGGCCAAGACATGGGAACAACCAAAGTGTCCGCCATAGAGGACTGGGTGAAGAAGACGTGGACATATGCCCAAAGGAGTACTGCTCAGCCCTAAGGAAGCATGAAACAGCGCCATCTGCAACATGGACGGACCTTAAGAACATGACGCTTAAGTGACATAAGTCGGTCAGAAAAAGCTACGAACCATATGATTTCACTCATATGTGGGATATAAAACTGAAACTCCTGAACATAGATAGCAGTGTGGTGGTTGCAGAGGGAAGGGGAGTG